GTTCAACTGTGTTGCTTTTGAAAAGTGAATCTGGAAGTTGCTCTTGGTATAAGAGGTACGTTCCTGCTTTCTCCTGTTTTTTTTTTTTCTGAATTCTTTGGAATTCTGCGTGGTTCTTCAGGAAAATAGATGTTTTGCTGAGTTGCCTGACCTTGGCAGCAGTACTTCCTGTATGCCTTGGAGGGAGGATTTTGAGTAATGGAAGCAGATAAGTTCTGTTACTTTTTTTTTATGTCCTTGTGTGACAAGGTATTTAGCAGGATTAACAGACCAGTTGGAATGAGACAGGGCTGTGCTTGGGAACTCAAGTGTCTGCAGCCCACTTTCAGGCTTTGTTTGTTGTCATAACACTAATTCTGAATAAACCCTTGTTTAGCAACCCACAACTGTTCAATAAATGAGTTGAGTTGCTTCTAAAAAGGGACTGTCCTTGGGCTTTTTGATAGTGGTACTTGTCTGAACAACACTTGGATGATTTATATTCCGTGTTTGCAGTTACTTGAAATTTAACTGATTCTGGCTCAGGTCTTCCTGATGCACCTTCTGAGAAGAGAGACTTGCTGAAACACTGGATTCAGCAAGTCCAGTCATTTTTGGACTGAATCTGCTTGTCTTTGTTCCTGGACCTTTTTCTTTCTCAAAGCCAGCCTGCTTCCTTCAGCAACCTGGATATTGAGAACTTGTTCTGCTTGCTGTTTCAAAGACATTGATGGACAATGTATTCTGAGCTACTAGTGAAAAGGGTGAGCTGCAATGCAAGCTTTAGCACTAAAATATACTGTATTTTTCTTACAGAAGATAAATTTTAAAACCTTGCACTGCATGGTATCTGCATCCAGCAGTATTCTCCTGATGGACTGTTCAAAAAGCAGTGCTACAGTAATTCAGCATCTGGCATCGTTGGTTTTCATGCTCTTGTGCTTGTTAAACCTGGTATTTGTGTTGATACAAATGGACTTTTTTAAAGCTTAATTCCTTACTAGGGAATTCTGTACTAGCTTACAAGGGAGCTTGTTAAAAGCTGTTGATAAGTGTATGCTATCAAATTGCAACAAATTTTTTTTTTTCCTTTTTGAAAAGTAATTTCCTTTGGCGCACTTCAAGCAAACTGTAAATGTGACTTAAAATCACTGATGAGAAGATCTGCATAGGGTATGTACAGAGGAAACCTATGGTTTGGAGTTAGGGGGAAACTGAAAGTAGAGGGTCAAGTTGGCCCTCTACTAATCCATTCCCATGTTTTAAGCCCCATATTTAACTTGAATGCTACTGTTGGTGTAAAGTAGAGTGAGTTATAAATGTCTAGATATAGGACCAAACCTGATTTGAGAAAGCAAAGTATGTTGCATTGATTTGATACCAACTTAGGCATGATGAATAGAACCATGATATCTATCAATTGATACCAACAAGCTTTTATATGAGAGCTGTTGCATCTTCATGCAGCTGTTATGGTCCAAGTGTAGCAGAACCATTGCAACTTGAACTATGTTTCTTTCATGCTTACAGTTCCAACAGTTCTGTTAACTTGAATTATTACAGGAGTACACAGGTGAAGCAATTGTATTGTAACACTTTAAGTGTCTGAATGACAGCTCACCATCTCCTTTGAAAGGGGTTTGTCCCAAGTCTATGGTATGAAGAGACTTGTACAATACATGGATAAAAATAAAATGCCTATGCCTCGTTAAAGAAATAAAACAGGCACAACTTCTTAGGTGTCTGAGTTAAGCAACGTGGCTAAAGAAATAACAGGTTATGCTTCCATCATTGTAAAATTAATTACAATGGTGACAATGAGACCTGTGACAAGCCTGTGCTGAAATTAATTGGATATTTGTCCAGGTGTAGGGTAAATTCACAGGAGTGCAAGATGCAACCATTTTATAAAGATTATAATTGCATCAATGTGTTTTAATACTTCTACTTGATTCCTAGGAAGCACAATAAGCAAGCACCATCTGGTAGTTAAGTTGTCATAGCTTTCTGCTTCCTGTGGGAAATCCAATTGGGTGCTAATAAATTGTTGAGATAAATGTGCTGCTGCATGTCTTTCTGAATTTTGGGGTAGGCTTCTGACGACCATTAACTTACTGGAAATTGGACTTGGCATATTTTATTATCCTGTGTGAGTATGGTCTCAAATGAAGTTTTCATTTCGGGGCGTCTCTTGGGTTTAAACAAGCTTTTGTTAGCAAGGGCATTCCATACCTACAGTAAGTCAGCAGTTGGCGAATAACTGTAAATCACTTTCTGTTGAGGACATAGTGGTATAAAACCACTTAAATTCATTTGTTTCCTAAAACACTTGGGGGGGGACGACCTAGAGACCATGTTAACTGATATTCTCAAAGCATAGGATTATATTCTCTAACTTTTGTTATCTTCTAGGGAGTCCAAATGACTACACAGCACTTGAAGAAAGAATCTGTGACCTTGTGCCTTGGTAAAGAATTCTGTTGTGCATAGATTTTGTAGTGTCTTTCAAAGGTGCTGCACTGCCTGGCAAAAGGATTCTGAATGCCTTCCTAACTGACAATTTACTCTACCACTATGGGAGAGTAAATCTACCACTATGCCAGATTGATGTATCAGACTAAAATCTCTGCAAGGGTTTATTACATCCCTCTGCCTTCCATAAACTAGCTTACGCGCAGGATATTGCAGTGATTTTTTTTGTTTGAGGAACCATTACCTCTAACAAAGTTATTTCCATTAAATTATCAATTTTGGTGGTGCATATAGAGCTTTCTACCTATATTGCTTCAGAGTGGTTAGAGGTAGTGTTTCATAAACATGGCAAAAGCTTCCTCTGTTCCAGAATAGATGCAAGTATTGTTATGATGATTGGCAAAATGTTCAACTGCTCTGATAAGAGTGAGTGAAAACAGCCTTTCTGAACACACAAGTTGTAGAGCCCAGCTATTTGTTTGTCTGCACTAAGCAGGGGAGAGTGATCTTACTATTGAATGATTTACAAAGTCACTTAGGATTAGCTTAACCAAAGGGAAAATATGCCAGACTCAAGTGGGCCTGGAAGGAGCCTCATGAAGTCACTTCTTCTACAACCCCCTGTTCACAGCCAGACCATCCTCTTCTAAACCAATCTAGATTTTTTTAAAAATTCTTTTATTTATTTTTGTTGTCCAACCTGAGACTCCCTGGACTTAAAAGCTTGTCAGTTGTGCCCTTAAGAAAAGGACTTGTGGATAGCAGCCCTCTCCTTTTGACAACATAAGAAAAAACTCCCTTATCTCCAGGGAATGGAAACTTGAAAACATCATGAACAAGTCTTTCCATCTGTCCATTACTTAAGTGTATAGAGTTTGTCATGACTAATTCCTTCCTTAGTCTGAAATCTGCCATATTCACAAAGCCCTTAACATCAAATAGGTTATTCAGCTTCAGGTCCCAGTAAATTTTCTTCTCATGCAAGACCTGGAGGCCCAGGACTATGAAGAGTGTATAGAACTGTCATGTATTCTGGAAAGGCATCATATTCAGTGAAATGACTAACTGTTGCTATTTTGTACAAAAATGTCTTTGTTTAACTGGATCTTAGCACCTTTCCTAGCTAAGGAGGGAACACTTCCATTACTGGTTGTGCATGATCACTTTTCATACATCAAATTCATACATCAGGAAATGTTTGAGGTAGCATTGCTGCTTTTGCATGCAATTTTTTGCATGGCTACAAATTGTTAATGTGTTTTCAGATGGACCATATCCCTAGAAAACAAGGACACTGAATTACAAAGAAGTTATCAGACATGAGAAGTTGTCTCTTACAGAGGTATGAACCCCCTCTTCCCCCCCCCCCCC